TTAAGAGTGATAACAGTTGTATTACTATACATATGTAGCTTTTTGTAATTTTATAATGCAACATTAACATTAATTATTGGCTCGGCATGGCCAGGTGGCTAGGGCACTTGACCTCGAATCCCATTCCTACCAAACATGCTTGTCCTTTCAGCCATGTGGGTGTTATAAATGTGACGGTCAATCCCACTATTTGTTGGTAAAAGAGTAGCCCAAGGGTTGGCGGTGGGTGGTGATGACTAGCTGCTTTCCCTCTAGTCTTTCACTGCTAAATTAGGGACAACTAGTGCAGATAGCTTAAAAATGGCCAGTTTGTAATTATTCTGTAAAATTTATGCAGGCATTTCACAAAGTGTACTCGAATGTTCCTATCTGTTATGGCTGTATAGCAGAGTGGATTTAGATAACTTATTTGTCAAATGAATGAGTTATTGACCTCAATAGGATGATGCATTTAACTTGCGACTTTACCTTTTGCAAGCTATCTTGTGTTTCCTGCGAAAGACTCTGTAGGTCTCGAATGCAAGTTGATTCAAACTCGTTGCCTGAATTTTTTACCTGAGTTATGTGACTGAAAAGAAAGAAAAAAATACCCTTCTTTGATTTATTTAGTCGTGTCAAACACAACAGAACTTCAGAAAGTTTCCTGCAAGTATTCAATACTATGTTATATGACTTCATGTACTGAATGTTGGCAATATTTAGAATGATGAGGAACAAAATGTTTAATTCTTTTTATTATTATTTAGATCTATAAACATATATTATTATATGCACACAATATTTCAGAAAAACATATTTCTGTTAATCTCACTTTTCTATTAGACTTTGACATTTCTGGGTTGATACGGAAGTTTCACGAAGATCATCCTGAATCTGTAAAAAGAGACAGACAGACTTATGAAACCTGTTTTTTAGAAAGTAACACTCAACAAAAACATTAATAAGTACAATTTATACATATTTACTTCCCTCCACCAACAACAGACGATTTATTAATTCATTCTAAAATACCCACGTGCTTTCTTTACATGCTTAGATCACAAAGATATAGACAGTTACATCACACCATGACAACTAAAAATGAGAACCAGCGACTGATTAAAATCAACAAAACAACACTAGTATCATAGTTACAAGTTCAAAACTATTTCAACTAGAGTTGTGAGTGATGTATTACGCTCAGTAAAAAAATTAAAGGATTAGGGAATTTACAAAGAATATTTTTTTCGTTTAAAGTATGCTCAAGTAAAGCCAAATTCAAAACACTTTTTTTTTTAATGTAAACATATAAAGTTTCTTAGTTAAATAAATTTCCACTCTGAAGGTTTTTGCTTGATGTGTGGAAGAATAGTTACAACTTTATTTTGTTTGATTTTTTTCTAAGTCAGTGGTGCAGTTTTGCTCTCAGGCACCACAGTTAAATAAAAACTTAATCTAATTTCTTGAGTTTAAAAAAGTTTTTATAATCACGAGTTTACACTTAAATTTAGATTGTGTGGAAAGCTTTGTGTAAGAATAAAAAAAAAGCCAAAGCTTACGTAACCACAGCTCAAAGCATGTAATTTTTCTAAATAACATTTACATTTATAAGCGTTAGGTTTTACACGAACCAGATGTAGCATGTTTTTTTAAAATAGTAGTTCAGGTTGCAAAGTAAATCAGAAGAAGAAACATCTAGCTACTGGATTATTTCAAAATTAAGGCGATGCTTGTATAAGTTCACGTTACTCAGAATTATATCTCAGATGATACAAATCATATTATTGAACAGATCCCTAGAGAGTACTAACAAATCTGGGAATGGTAATCTATATGTTTATTGGCAGCAAATCAGTTTTTATTGTTACTAGTACTATTTCTCCATGAATGCCACGATTGGTTTGTACACACTCCTAAATATTAGCTTGACCAATACCTGAGAAAAATTTATAACAACACCGAAGTTCTAACCGGATAAATTAGTTAGATTACCAGTGCAAAATGGATAGTACTCTACACAGGTTCTGCCTATACAGTGTATCATAGACTAATGGAAGCATAATATATTCATGCATATAAATAAACTATTCTGACCCATTATAGACAAGATACCCAATTACGTGATGTACACCACAACATATCAACAGAGTATGCAAATGGTCAAAGAAGTGTTAAATCTGCCTTAAATTACTGGTACATGATCATTTTACATATAAAACATCAACAACAGACACACTACTGTATTTAACTGTAGTAACGTGCTCATTCAAATGTGAACCTTCCAACTTCTCAAAACAATAGCAACAAAATATCCCAGAACAAACTTTGAACTAATGGTTCAAAGGTGAATTATTTACCTCACACCCAAAGTTAAGACAAAAAAATAATGATAGAAACTAAATATATCTACAGTTAGAATTTTCAGCAGCAAACTATAATGGATTGCAACATTTTATCTAAGTGGCTAGGTACAGTCACTCAGTTAAGACTACAATAGCTAACAGCACTGAACAAGGTAAAGTTTTAAATATATCCTCTATATTTGTGAAAGATAAATAAAAAATTGGGAATTTAAAAACCTGCAAATAGGGATTGTAAAAAAAAAAGTAAAGAAACAAGGCTGGATATTCTCTAGATATTATCTACTCAAACTAAAAACCTCCATTTTGGCTCCATGCTGTTACTTAGAATTACATTTGGTCGAGGCAAAATAGGGATTTGTAAGTTTGAGTAGATAATGTCTATAGTATCTCCAGCCTTGTTTCCATAATTTTTTTATCTGTCTTGTTTGCTGGCTTTTTTTTTTATGCTCAACCATGGGCAAAAGATTACTTGACATGGTAGCTAACTGATACGGTTCATGATGATTTACTGTAGCTATTGACTATTTGATCACATTAGTTCGAGATGTAAAATGTCAAGCTACAGTTTCAGATTGTCATGGAGATTTGTTTGAGAGTATAGTGAATATTTATAGTTTCTGTGTAACTAAATTCTCTACATATAATGCATATTAATGAGCAAATATATGACTAGACTAAGCCACAATCCCACTATGCACGTATATAAAATATTCCCAGTATAGAAAAGCAGCTTTTTCAAATAAAACATATATGCCTAAAACATCACTTTAAATAAACCTTCATGTCTTTTAAAGTAATTATTCTACAAATGTGTGTAATAAGATATTTAATATTATGTGTATTGATTTTTATTTACTCCTTCACTTCATACATAATCTAACGGTTGGCTCCCTAAAGACATTAATTGTATAGTGTACAAAGTATTGAGTATCTACATGTTACAGTCGCCTAGTTCATATATTATTGGCTGGTAATTCTTGTTTCAACCTGTACTTAAGCTTTTTAACTTAAAGAAACACCAGGTATTTGTAAGAAAGCTAACTTTAAGGTGGTAATGATAACATTGTATACAATAAAATTATGATGTTTTTTTAGTATGTGTAAAATATAGAAGAAACAACTTGACTTTTCAATACCCCTGCGACCTTCACAGTATCTTATTCAGTATTTTACAAAAGGTTTGGGTACAATATACCAAACCATTTTTATTGTAGGCTAGCAAGAGAATAATTATAATTTTTTACATTTCATGACTAGTTTCATAAAAGTCGATGTCAGATTTATACAGACAATAATAGTAACGAAATAAGGATACCTTATGAAACTAGTCATGAAATGTAAAAACTGTAAATTGTAAAATTTATGCAGGCATTTCACAAAGTGTCCAAGTCGATGTCAGATTTATACAGACAATAATAGTAACGAAATAAGGATACCTTTATCTGAAGATTTATTTTACGTTCTACACAGCCCACGAGTATATCTTAGCTATAAGTACTTTATCGAACCTTCTTACCTGAAGACGATATCTGTTTGCTTGTAGTTCGTGAACATGACCCTCTGCATGTTCTCTAATTCTGGCTTCTACCTCCTGGTATGTAGTCTCCCATGCCTACAAAACAAACCAGCCACAGGGTTTCCTTATACGTTATTATTAAAACAAAATGTGAGCATATCCACCGACTGCAAATTACAAGTTTAAGTCTGAGTGTTTGTCTGCTTATAAGTGGTGAACCACTGGATCAATTGTCACTAAACCTGGAATGTACCCTTATGGCCCCCTGGTGAGTGGCATAAAAAAGTTAGCATTTGGATATTCTGTTACTCCTAAGTCTTTCCTCATGAATTAATTTCTACATTGATACTAATTTTAAAGGCAAATTAAAATTTTTCTGGGGTTGACTACCATACCCACAACTGGCTGCAGAGACAGCAGTAATGTTGGGATTTAAAACACCCGACACATAACCCCTAACTGATCTTCTATGACAGCTACCTCTTTATTCATTTAATACGTCTGGTAGACAGAATATCCTCAACACTTTTGACGTTTTCCTTTAAAATTTTATTGACAAACTATATGATTTGTTTATTTCATTTTATATATACGTAGTTCATGAAATTTTGATCAATTTATATAGTTAAAATTGTTATGGGTAGCAGCTTTAGTTTCTAATTTGATATTAGACATCTTGGTTCTAACTTACACACACACACAGAGTGAGAAACTAGGACTATTTTAAGAATCTTCTATACTTACAGTTTCTACTTTATCAGCAGCTGTAACACTCTCCGTCTGCAGCATTTCCTGCTTTGTTTGTACTTCAACACCAAAGTCCATGGCCTGTAATATAAAAAAAACGTATCGTAATACAAAGCCAGTTGCAACATAATAAAATAGAGAGCAGTGGTTATCTGTGATAAAAAGAAATATTCAGTCAACCTTTCAGTAAAATAACCTGTATGAGTTCTGATAAAGGTCATTTGGCCAAAACTTTGAAATGCTATTTGTCTCCCAGAAATTTTAATAATTCCTTGGTATTTTCACACGTAACAAAAAAATACAAAAGTGTCCAATGCTTTGTAAAAATATCAGTATAGAAGACTTTTACTCACGAACTGTGTTGAATATAATAACAGCTTCAGATAAAAATGCTTTGTAGTATCAGTTTTACTAAAATATGATTGACCGTAACTCAATGGGTTTTCTTATGGTCAGGGGTAAAAGGACATGTCATCATGTTTGTAGACTTATATTCAAAATTTTATTGGACCACTATTTTAGTAAATAGGGCATTATCTCAACTTCCTACAATCTTCTATATCTTTAACGTAAGTAGGGCATTATCTCAACTAACTACAATCTTCTATCTCTTTAACATAAGTAGGGCATTTTCTTAACATCTTACGATACCGAAAACTTTTAAATTTGCACACCATCATGCAAAGTTAGAAATGTTTCTGATGAAGTGAAAAATTTAAAGCACAATTCATTTTTCAAATCTGTGACTCTAATTACCAGGCATACGCTTCAACCAGCTGAAATATTGCCTCTCCTGTGTCACAAGTCTCATTTGTGTGTCACTGTCCGATATTACGGATGAAATACGGCAGGCTCATTGAGCAACGTCAACTGGCTTGAAATGTTCAGAATCTGTTTATTAGCATTTTTTGGTTGAAAGGGTAATTTTTTTTTTCAAGATTTTATGACTTTTATCTATAGAAATGTTAAAGGCAGTAAAAACTATCCTAATAAAGATTGAATGTTTCTAAAGAACATAATCCTGAGGATGACGTTGTAACGTCGAAACACGTAGAGTCGTCAACTTTTTGAAGGCCATAGATAGGCCTAAATAAAATGTTTTTAATTGTGTACCAGTTTAACGTTGAATGTTATTTATGATTTTGAACATAATCTAGTACAAACTCCGTTAACTTGTTGTAAACAATCTGAATTATCACTTGCCAAAATACATTTCAATAACAGTATTTGTAGTTCTTTAATGAGAAAAATAATTATTTGTAATTTTC